AGGGAAACGTGTTCATCCCAGTCCTGGCTTCCAGTGCTCATGAAGCATGCAATGTCTCGCATCAAGGTCCTGTTCCACCTCTCGACACAGCCGTTCGCCTGTGGGTGCAGGGGTGAAGTCTTGATGCGACTCACTCCGAGTTGCTCCGCCATCGCCTTGACCACGGTTCCGATAAAATTCGGTTCACGATCCGACAAAAGTCTCTCCATTGGACCGAAGATGGACACCCATTCATCTAGTATCAGCTTGGCGACGGTGTCGGCACGCTCGTCTGGAATCGGGATGGCACGGGCAAAGCGCGTAAAGGTGTCAACGATCACCAAAATCTTGATATTTCCGGATGCAGACCTCGGCGTGACCGACTGAACGTCGACTGCGACTTGTTGAAACCTCCTTCGGGGGTGATAGACCATCATCCTGGCGTGCTTCGCGGGACGGTGAGCCTTTGCTGCAGTGCATGCCACGCAGCACCGCAGCCGGTCTGCCACGTCACTCCGCCAACCAGGCCACCAAAACGACCTGCTGAGTCGATCCGTAGTCCGCCTCACCCCGTAGTGTCCACTGAGCTTGGACCCGTGCACCTCGTCCAGCACGGCGTTCACCAGCCGTTTGGGTACCACAAGTAGCTCCCGGTCTGCCCTGGTGCGACGTAGAAGCCCCCTTTCATCCTTGGTGTACCCAGAGCTTCTCCTCTTGTTTGCGTGCTCCTCAACGTCCCCGAATTCCTCGAGCTGCGCTTGGCGAAATTCGTCGGCGGAAGGGCCACCGCCGAGGCCTGATAACTCCACCACTGCGCGGACGGCCTCGATCTTTCCTTCCTCAGCCACCGGTTCCTCGAGCGCCTTGAAACAGCGCGCGCAAAGTGGCTTCTCGACGGAGTCCCGACTCAAGGTGTCAGGGACAACGAGCTCCCCTCCTGGGGCATACACGACTGTGAAGTCGAAATCCTGGATGCTCACCATCCACCTCGCCAACCTCCCCCGCGGGTCCTTGAGACTCATTAACCACTTCAGCGAGCAATGGTCGGTGACCACGACCACGTCAGTCTCCCCATGCAGGTAGAAGCGCCATTTGCGCAGTCCGTGAACAACTGCCAGACATTCTTTCTCCGTCACAGTAAATTTTCTTTCGGCGTCGGTGAGCTTCCTGCTCGTGAAAGAGACAGGGTGCCACTTTCCGTCATCTTCTCGCTGGAGCAAGACTCCCCCCACGCCGTACGCACTCGCGTCCGTCATGAGCTTCTTGGTCGCACCACGCCTCGGTGACACAAGAGACTCCGGGTTGCTCAACACCGCCTTCAGATCAGCCCACGCTCTCTTCTGTTGCCACCCCCATCGGTTACTCCAGTCTGGGATAATCAACTTCTGGCCTCTCTTTTTTTTCTTATTGAACCCAGTCCCTACCAAGACCTCGTGTAGAGGTTTGGCCAGTTCCGAAAAGTGGTCAATAAAGTCCGCGAAGAAATTCATTAACCCCAGAAACCGCATGAGTTCTTCGCCCCCTCCAGGCTCGACGAGCTGTCGTATCGCCGCAACGTGGGCGTCCGAGGGCCTGATGCCCTTGCTGTCAATCCTGTGTCCCAGGATCTCCGCCTCACGCACCCCAAATTGGCACTTGGCCAGTTTCAGCCGAGCACCGGCATTGTAAAATGTCTCTAATGCCGTGTCTACAGAACGGAGGTGCTCCTCCACAGTAGCAGTTCCCAGGCTGACGTCATCCATAAACGCCTACACATCCAACCCCTTTCTGTTTCCCAAGATGAAGTTGACGATACGTTGGAAAACGGCCGGAGAGTTTTTCATTCCTTGCGGTAGGCGAATGTAGCAGAGCAGCCCTATGACAGTCCGGATCGCGGTAAAATCTCGCGATGCCTCTTCAAGCTCGACCTGAAAGAATCCGTCTTTCAGATCAAATGTAGAGAAGATACATTTCGTCGCCATCCAGTCGAGGGTAGCCCTTACGTCCTCCATTGGATACGTATCTGTGACCGTCAGCGCGTTCAGTGCGCGGAAATCAGAGGTTACGCGCAACGTCCCGTCTTTCTTTCTGACAAAAACGTTGCACGCGGCCCACGGGGATGATGCCGGCTCGACTACCCCCATCCTCAGCAATTTCTCCATTTCGGCGCGTTCGACCTCCTCCTCGCGAGGAGATCGTCTTCTCACCGGACAGCACACTGGCGTGGCGCTCTCGACTAGCTGAATCCTATGCTGCACACCCCCGATTCTCCCCAGCCCCTTGAAGACAGCGCGGCGGTACCACAGACTTTTTCGTAGTTCCTCCTGTACTCCACGCTCCGGATGAAACTGAGACAAATCCATGTCCAGAATGGCATCGTCGACATCGGCGTCGGTGATTGCCGCCATCAGTTCCAGAGCGGCATTGTTGATCGGACTTCTCGTGACCTTTCCTCGAATGCGTCTCCCGTCGACCCACAGCTTTCCGCGAAGTGTCCGTAAGTTGAGGACCAAGCCGTGCCGACGCCAAAACCGGCTCCCGACAAGGACCTTACTCGGGAGGTGCTCTGCGACCCTCACTGGCTCTGCGAACCTTGTGCCCCAGAGCTCAAAAGCGAGCTCCCCTGTGCCGCAGACGGCAATTTTGTGGCCGTCCGCAGCTGTAGCGCTGTCCCTATCTGGGACCCACTTTCCTCCCACTCGTTCGAACCACGACCGATCGACCCATATCGATCGCGCCCCCGTGTCCAGGGGGACCCACACCTTGTCCGACCCTGCGCACAGTTGGACGACAACGTCGTCGTCGAGGCTCCTACTGCCTCCTTCGCAACGACACACCCTCTCCGCCTCCCTTGTGCGAGGGACCCGACCGGCCATTAATTGCGCTTGCTGGGAGGGGCGCCGGTCGCGTTTCCTTCCCCCGCACCTTCCCCCGACGAACCGAGGCCCCTTTCCGCCCTGTCGCGGCGTTTTTTTTCACACGAGCGTGCGAGGTGGCCCTTCAGGCCACAGTAGTAGCACGTGGCCGAAAGAAAGCGGTCTTCGGCAAGTGTAGAGGGGGGGGGGTCGCGACCGCATCTGGAACGGTCGAGATGACTTGCTTCTCGCGACTGCTGCTGCTGTCTATGGCACGCACGCGCTCCGGTCGGGCTTTCGACTCGCGGTTGAAGCTGGGCTTATTTTTGCCCATCATAGACACCCTGCTAACTACCTCGTCGAACGTCCCCTGCACCGCCAGGGCATGATCGCGGAGCCTTCCGCTCAGAGATTGCGTGAATAGATCCAGAATTCTCTCTTCTGAGACCCTTTCCGGAAGTGCCACGGCAGCAGCGCGCAAGCGGTGCGCAAATTGACTGATGGACTCAGTGCCTTCGTCCCACTCCATCATATCAAATGCCACCCGTAGACTTCTCTGATGGCTTCCATGGCAAAGCCGATCCTGCAACAGAACCCAGAGCTCATCTGCGTCGGCATCAAGGTGCGCGGACGCGATCTCCTCGAAAATAGTCAACGCCGTTCCCGAAAATGCACAAGCCAGAAGACGACGATGGCAACCAGGTCGCACGGGGAAGTCCTGACAAATGCGTCTCCATGCCCTCCGGGCAGCGAAAAAATGCGGGTCTCCCGGCTTTGAGATTTTGACGGGGTCCATCGACTTACTGTAAATTTTGTAAACTGTCTGAGGGAGGTAAAAGTCAGAGAAGTGTCTGCCATATTGTTCATCCCTCGTACCGGTTGGCGCCTGATGGCCACATCTGAGTCCCTCGCTAACCTTTGCCTCAAAATCATTCTCTGCAACAGATAGACCTTCTCCGGTTTCTGCCGTCTTCTGCTGGTTGCCGGTAGTCGTAACTGCAACTTGCGGCCGGAAATCCGCGGTTGCAATCGCGCTGGTCACGTTTGAGACCGTCTGTCCCATCATTATGATCGTCTTTGTGTTTCGGTCGATGGCTTCCATCATCATTTCCATAACTTCTTTCATGCTGGAAACTGCATGTAGAATCTGCATATCTGTGCCAGAAGCACCACGAACTGCTCCTCCGGTCCTAGCAGATCCAGTCTCATCTTGTCGGGTCATTTCCGACAACAGAGACCTTGGTGTAGTGTGTGTCGGCGGGGTGATCGGCGCCCTATTGACCCCGGTCACTGGGCTTGAGGAAGGCAGGCCTTCAGGGTTTCGTCCTAAGCCCTTCGCTACGCGACGGTCCTCCTTATCAGCCTGATCCGAGCCGTCCATCACGAGTTACGCCCTTTGTTCCTTGCCCCTGCCGCTCACCGGCAGTCTGATCGCAAGTGCCACGATCACTTACAAGCTCGTAATGTTGCGGTAATCCAACCGCGAGGCACCGAGCGAGTCGTAAAGTCGGGAATCCACCCACTTCCTTTACTCTTTGCTAGTTCGCTGCCTCCCCTCTCTATCTCTGAGGGTAGGCGATTAAGTACTACTCCCCGGGAGGCCTCAGCTGTCTCTGGTCTTTCCTCCCCTGCCCCCTTTCCTTTCGACCCAGCAGCTCCCGACCACCCGGCGCTGTCCCCCGCCCCAACTCCTACCGTCCATTGCCGTCCTCCTTGCCGTTGGCGCTACGCGCGACACCAGCTGCACCCCTTTTTCCCTTCGGAAGACTGGATTACGCGCCCTTTCGGTTCCCTAGATGCGCGCACGTGCACTCCTGTTCCGGTTCGCGATCCGTTCGTCCACGTTTACACGTGGGGTTCAGTTCTTCCTCAACAGTACAGTAGTTTGCATATCTCGAGGACAATTTCGGGTGCCCCCGTGTCCACGCCAATGATTGTGTTGTCCACGTGTAGAAAGGGCCTAAATGTAGGACAAGGAGAAGGGGAGCGGCGGTGCATCTAGATTGCATATCCCTGATCTCGATCGCGCGACAAGCACAGTAGTACCCAAGGGTGCTGTGCACAACATTCACACCTAAATGTACGCCTTCTCGGAACTAGGAAAGTTGCAGTTACAGCGTAACAGGGGTGGGATCTGTGATTTTGACGCCGTGAAAGCTACACAATCCCAGCATGATGTCATGTTGGATGCAGCTGTTGACATCAACAGCTGCCTGCCCACGGCGGCCATTGCTGGTCTCGTATTTTCCACGTTGCGATTGGGTGATCATGTCTTACAGACGCGCGTGCGGGCGGGGCAGGTCGCAGCCAATGGGGGCGGCGTGGATGGCGCGGGAGCGCAGGCAGCCGCGCCAGCCGTTAAGCACGCGCCCGGCAGCGACACGCGTGCCGCCTAGCCAGCGCCAGCGTGTCCAATCATGTCGCCGCGCGGCGGACACAACGCGCCGCGCCCGCGCCGCGCCAGCCCGGTGTACACGTGTCACCCCAAAAACCGCCCCCTGCGCGCAGCGTCCCGCCCCCCGTTCCCGCGCCCGCTTACGCCTCCCCCGCGCTGCACCCCCCCCCCAGCCCCGGTTGAAACGAAACGAAACCCCGCCGCCTCCCCACGGAGGCTTTTAAGACCGCCCCGCGCTACAACCCTCCGCACCTCTCCGCTCACACGCCTCCCGGAAGCACAGCGTACCGAACACGCCGCCCGCCGCCGCGCACTCTGCACGCACGCCGCCGCCCAGCCATGAAGTACAACGGCGTCGACATCGACTTCGACCCCAACGCGAAGGACGACACCGTCACGGCCGCCCAGGAGACGACCACGTCGCGCCGGAAGGAGCGCGTCGACCTCGTGTGGAGGGACCTGTCGTTCTCGGTCATGGTCGCGGCGAAGAAGGACGCCTCGTCCGCGCCGCCCGCGCCGCCGCCGCCGGAGGCGCTGGTGGCAGAGGCGGAGGCGCCGCTCAAGCGCGCGCGCCACCCTAAGCACGTCGAGAAGCAGATCCTGCAGAGCATGTCTGGCGCCGTGCGCGCCGGCTCCATGCTCGCCGTCATGGGCTCGTCCGGTGCCGGCAAGACCAGCCTGCTTAACCTGCTCGCTGGCCGCATCACCAGCAAAAACGCCCGCGCCGCCGGCGCCGTCTTCGTCAACGGCAAGCCCAGGGAGTACGCCAGCTTCAAGAAGCTCGCCGCCTACGTCCTGCAGGACGACGACATGTTCGCAGAGCTCACCGTCAAGGAGCAGCTCACCTACGCCGCCCTGCTCAGGCTCCCCGCCTCCATGCCCAGGGAGAAGAAGCTGCTGCGCGTCCAGCGCGTCATTCAGGAGCTCGGCCTCGCAAAGGTCCAGCACACCATGGTCGGCAACCAGATCGTCAGGGGCATTAGCGGCGGCGAGCGCAAGCGCCTCAATATTGGCGCAGAGCTCGTCACCGACCCCGCCCTCCTCTTTCTGGACGAGCCCACCACGGGCTTGGACAGCTTCAACGCCCTCAACGTCATGACCTCGCTGCGCCAGCTCGCGAGCAACGGACGCACCATTGTCTCCACCATTCATCAGCCGCGTTCCAGCATCTTCGCCCTCTTCGACCAGCTCTGCCTGCTTTCGGAGGGCCGCGTCATGTACTTCGGCCCGGCCAGGGACGCCGTGCCCTACTTTGCCAGCCTCTCCTTCCAGTCCCCGGCCCAGTTCAACCCGGCCGACTTCTTCCTCGACCTGCTCAGCGTCGACCCGCGCTCCAAGGAGCGCGAGGACGCCACCAAGGCGAGGGTGGAATACCTCGGCGACCGCTTTGTCAACCAGGCCGCCCCGCTGCCCATCGAGCACCCGGACCATGATGTCGAGGCCCCCGTTGCCGCCCAGCCGGACACCTCCGCGGAGGGCCCCCATGATGACCGCCTCATGGACACCGAGTTTCAGTCCAGCTGGCTCAATGAGTTTTTCGTGCTGTGTGGGAGGTCGCTCAAGCTTGCGCGTCGCGAGAGGACGGCCAACGGCGTTAGGCTGGGGCAGGTTTTCTTCTTCAGTATTATTCTCGGCCTCATTTGGTTGAACAATGGGCGGACGGATGATGATGGCGGAGCCGCGAGACTGTCGCTGGGCGGGGTCCTGTTTTTCATTATTATCAACCAAGGTAAGTTGAGGTCGGAGCGCTGTGGAGCGACCGTTGCGGCGTGCGAGATGAAAAAAAAAACCACTAACATAGTTTCTTTTTTTGATGGATGGAACGTCCAGCTTTCGGAGGAGTGTTCGCCGTGATTTTTGGCTTTCCTCTAGAGAGAAGCATCATCACGCGGGAACGGGCTTCGAGCACGTACCGGACGAGCTCTTACTTTCTGAGCAAGACATTGACCGACTTTCCCAAGACCCTGTTCTTTAACACGCTATTCTGTTTGATTGTGTACTGGATGGTAGGGTTGAATCCAACGGTCGGGGCATTCTTCGTCTTTATCCTCGTTATCTTCCTAACGTCCTTCGTGTCCGAGTCGCTCGCCATCGCGGTGTCAGTGATGACCGGCGACGCGCAGTCCGCCGCCGGGATCATCCCGGTGTTCATCATCCTCGGCGTGCTATTCGGCGGGTTCTTCATTGGAGCATCGGAATTAGACGGGTGGATCGCGTGGGCCAAGTGGCTGTCGTTTGTGTTCTACGCGTTCAACGCGCTGGGCAAGAACGAGTTCGGCGGGCGCGAGTTTGACAATCCGCAGATCCAGGCGGCCAACAAAGCCGCCCTGAATACGTTCAACGACCTGAGCATGTGGGAAAACATCGCCGGCCTGTGCGGCATCCTCGTCATCTTCCGCCTCATGGGCTACCTGTTTCTGCACTACCTACGCGGGCCGAAGTTCCTCAAGTTCTAAGTCGACGCGGCCGCGCCGCGCTCGTTCCGTGCAGCCGCTGCGCGTGGCCTCCTGCGCACTCGTTGGCCTGCGGGGGTTTGTCAGGGGAGTATATACCGTATGTGCTTGTGTGTGTGTTTGTATTGTGGGTGTGTTTGTATTGTGGGTGTGTATTATGTGGCCTCGAAAGTTGATGCCATGTACATCGTACCGTATGATAGTTGCGCCTGTTTCCAAGAGTAGTCAAAAAACTGTAGTGCCACCTCCACAACGATTCCCACCTCTCCTCACATTCCACGTATCCACGTTGCCCACCGCCCGCAAATTCCGCCCCACGTCTCGGTCACCCAAAATTCCCCGACTCTTTTCTCTTCCCCCTTCTGCAAGCCCCCCCCCCCCCCTCCCCGCGTCTTCCTCAACGCCAGCCTCGTTACCCGCTTCCACCCCGCCGCCCACCCGCATGGCTCGCCCCAGCAACGCCGCGCCCCCGGCCGCGCGCCCCCCGCCCGCGGAGGGGAGTGCGATCCCGCCCTCGCACAGCCACGGCGCGGCCACGGTGCGTTTCATGAAGGCCGCCATCTCCGCGGGCGCGCCTCTCGCCGCGGTCACCGGTGGCCTGGGCTACCTGGGCGCGCACGTCGTGGCGCGCATGCTAGCCAAGGGCTACTATGTGCGGTCGCTGGTGCCGCAGGGCGCGAACGTCGACTTCCTGCTGGCGATGCCGGGCGCCGACGTGCGTCTGCAGATCATCCCCGTGCGCGACCCGGCGGCCGAGGACGCGCGCGCGGCGCTGCTGCTGGCGTTCCGCGGCGTGGCCACGGTCGTGCACGCGGCATCGTTCTCGACGCACGGCGGGCGCGTCGCGAAAGGCGCCGCCGCGAAGCGCATCGTGGACTCGCTCAAGATCTCGCTGGACGCGGCGTCGACCGCCGGGAACGTGGTCATCAACTTTATCTACCTGTCGTCGGAGATGGCCGTCTTCGACGCCGCGCGCCACGGCCGCCGGAAGACGGTCGAGCTGGGCGAGGACGACTGGTTTGACTGCAAGCGCAACGCAAGGGATGAGAGCAACGCGTTTGCTTACGCGCATACCGTGGCGGAGATGCGGCTGTGGGCGCGTGCGGGGCGCGGTGGGCTGCCGTTTAATGTGTGCTCGGTGATCCCGTCGTACGTGCTCGGGCCCATCCTGTCCGCGCGGCAGGTCGGATCGACGCCGAGCGTGGCATTTCTGGAGGCGCTGGCGAGGGGGGGGATTACGAAGGCGCCGGAGATTCCCATGTCGGTGGTGGACGTGCGGGACGTGGCAAGGGCGATTACCGGATTGGCGGAGCGGCCGGAGATTAGTGGAAGGATTTTGCTGTGCGCCGAGTCGATGACGTCGTTTGAGGTAATCGAGCGGGTGCAGCGCAAGTTTCCGGGATATAATTGGCCCGAAGTGAGGAAGAGGAGCGTTTTTCGACGATCGCTGGGGAAAGGGGATGCGGATGCGTTGCGAGAGCTCAAGACGGCCGAGATTGCAAGCAGGGAACGGCGCGGGAGGAAGTATGCGTTCTCGCAGGAGCGGGCTAAGAACGAGCTCGGCATGACGTTCAGGAGCGTGGACGAGACGCTGCGGGACACGCTGATTAGCTTCAAGCGGCATAAGATATTTGCGGACATGCTGCCGCGCGCGTGAACGATTGTACCGTGTGAAAGTACGCGGTACCCTTCCAAGGGTAGGTATAGAAAGTACATTTCTTTTTGTTTTATTCTTGTCGTCGCCGCCGCTGTGTGTTGTCTCTCTGTAGACGTAAAAAGTACAAACATATTAAGCAAAGCGCATGGGGGTAGGGTAGCTAAATGCGAAAGGTGGCAAGCGAGGTCATCTTGACCAAGTTGGGCCCTTGCGGCAAAGAGACCTGGGCGGCGGCGCGCGTGACGAGGGCGACGTACGGGACAAACCTCTGCAGGGCAGTAACGACGGCGACGCTCTCGTCGACATGCAATTGAGTCTCGAGCTGCCTTGCGATGCTAACCTTTCCCAAGTCGGTCTCGCAGAAGAGCAGCTTGCGCTCGTCCAGGCCGGCGTCGAACAGTCCGGCGGCCTGCACGGCGTCGCGGACAGCGGCCTCGGCGTCGTCCGACTCGACGTGGACGACTAGGTACATGTCGAAGGCTCGCGCCAACGAGCGGGCGGCGGG